GAAGTGAATTTTAAGGTGCAGCGACAACAGAATGTCAATATGAGAACAAGTATTCAAAGTGAGCATCCGTGGAAGTTGCAACAAATTCAAGATGCTGCTAATCATTTACAGCAAGGCATTGCCCATATAGACAATGTAGACAGACATTATCTTTTTAAAACGTCGGATGAAGTTATGCATGTGCTAGGTAATATTTTGGGCTGCCTTCAGAGGAGCAGAACTAGCTTGATCGTCCCTAGGAAGAAGACAATTGACGATCTCATTAAAAGTCGGAACATGGTTTGTAACATTTAGTTTATCATAAATGTATTAGTTACATTTAATAGCAAGTAACACTGTAAATTTTGTTTCGTTCATAGAAATCTCTCAATCCGAACCTCCCAGAAAATTTGGCCATTAGCTTTTACATTCAAAGCTATAAACTAGTTTTAGCTGTTTATCAGTTAGAAAATGCTCACGGCAGTGTTAAGTACGAAACCCAGCAAGCAGAATGCAGCGTACCATGGCTGAATGATGCTCTAGTATTGCTTACTATTGCCCTACAACTTTGTCAACGACTAAAAGACAAGGTTTGTTATGTGATAGTTTAATTGAAAAAATTTTAATTTATCATGATAAACTTTCTAATATGATAAACTTTTTCAGATATGTGTCTTTTCTCAATATAAAGATTTTACGGTAGGTTCTCGTGTTCCTTCTGCAATGGGCTGGTAACCTAACACCAAGATTCGTTTTCGAATAAAATTCAATATAATGTACGATGATACATGCAAGTGAGAAAGATTTGGCCTCAACTGGTAACATTTGCTCTGGCCTTTGTTTTTACATATGTTAATTGTTGTCCTTTCATCGTATTTCTCATTGCACTAGAGTGTTGTTCTAAACGTTTTTAAACGTGTTTATAGTGTGCGCCTAGCATAATAATGTATGATATATTGTAAGCTATTAAGATACCCGATCAAAGATTCACATGGAGATGTGAGTCACCAACGGATAACAACAAATCATTATATTATTAGGCCAGAAATGGAAGACTTTTAGAGCATTTTGCCAATTACTGGTGTGCCTATCACCATGTTAATATACTGTGTTCTTCCCATTTCTGTGGTAGTTTTTCATAATCGTGTAAATTTAACTTTGGCATATGACATCTAAAATTTGTCACTTTACCTACGAATTGATAGAAAAGTATTTAATACATCTACTGTGATTCTAGAAATTTACGCTGTAATCCTCTCCTTACTGGATTAGAACATATTTTTATATATTAATTTTTTATTTTCTTCATTATATTCCTTGTTATAGATATTTACGTGCATATTTACACATTGTGTTACGTGCATAACCACTATGTAGCATAGTTGTCAACTTAATTTTATAGAACAATTAAGTTATTTAAAAAATAATCGTCTTTTTGTACTCAAGATTTATGTATTCGTTTTAATTCAGAATATTGATGAAATCATTTATAAATCAAATTTCTGTCAATGTCAGTAATTTATTAATATCAGTATGATAAATTACGGGAGCATGAACATTAAAATGAAAATTAAAATCTAAAGTTTGAAAAAGAACGATTTTTAACTTGCCGGACAACCTAATATTTGTCCAATCACATATAATTTCTTGATCTAAATTTTAAAAAGGTCGATGCAATAATTTGGTATCTTTGTGCTAATAGGGCGTACTAACTTAATGATGATTACTGTGTGTATAGTTATGGAAAATGCCATTTTATTTATCAAGTATTATTTAAAGATAATAAGTAGACAAATACCATGTGCCTCATGATTACGAATTTGGATAAAATACCAATACTTTACATGATGGTACAATTTTTGTAATCGGTATTTTGATTACTAAAATAGTTAGCGAGGATATAAATATATATATAAAATATATTCATATTTGAAAAATATAATATTGCAAAAGAGAATGTTGCTCTAGGTTATTAACAGTAGGGAAAGGATTAAGGTTTATAATTAAAAGAAGTGCTTAAATATAATAAGTAGTTAGTAATTCTTTTAGTAAATTAAAGATGTGTAGGAAGAAATCTCCATATGCATTTTTTGACGGTTTAATAAAGTTGTTTGAAATGATATGTTTCAAAGAATTGAGGATATATATTACAGTTCAAGATTTAACACAAAATTTTTGCGTGATTGAAAGAACGAAATTAAATTGTCACTCTAGTTACACATCAAGAAATGCTAATGAAAAAAAAAAATCTTGCCCAGGTTATTATCGTATAGTATTTCCACAAAATTTATACATATACGTTTATAAAGTAAGATATGTTTATTATTTTAATTATTTATATGCTTATTTTAATCTGTATTTTGTAATCTAGTTCAAGACATTGGAAAATTGTAATTTATACATTAAATTTTATACATTAAATTTATAGACAAGTATATTGTTTATTGTTATATGTACTGTATGTTATAAATACGATCCAAACACACACATATACACGTTTTAGATTTGTCTTAAAAGTTTATTAGGTATACTGTACTTATGTAATTTGTGTGTTTAATTTATTTAGGACAATTAATAAATGTATGAATGAAATTGTTATCAACTTTCACATATGTCTTTATCATAATCCCAATATTTTGTTAAATACCTATATTAGCTGTAATTCAGTTTTTGCCAAGTTTCAATATTAGATTAAATATAAGTTTTTTAAGCAGCATATTTTGATTTCTTACTTTTTTCACGTTCGTATGTAATATACTGATGAAATATTATTAATTATCTACAGCTTGGTGAAATATTGTTAATATATGCAGAATGATGAATTATTCATATTATATTGACAAGAGTGGAGAGAGTTCAGGACACTTTGTGAAGGAAATGATCATATGGCTCGTTGGTCTAGGGGTATGATTCTCGCTTCGGGTGCGAGAGGTCCCGGGTTCAAATCCCGGACGAGCCCGTGGTTTATATTTTTTATTTCGTTACGATATATCTTACTTTTTCATTTAAACGCTGATAATATTTTTGCGATACACGTATACAAAATTCTTGTATAAATTATAAATATTTTATCAATTTTACACACCTTTGTTTAGCTGCACTTTAAGTGTGTAAGTTAATTGTAGTTTATATTTCTTGGTTTCTTTTTTTAGAACTTTTAGTTTTGTTTTATCGAGTGATAATCATCTAGACGCTGTACTTTATTTATTTTATATAGAAAAGTTACAAATTGTTTATATTTCAAGCCGTACTTAGTGAAGATAAATCCAGAAATTTGAAAAGAGAGTGTAATATGTGTGTGGTACAACTGGAAGCCGTATGGTAGCAACACATTATGTCGCTTGCCTGGAATCCTTCGAAGAAAAACAGTGAGCATGAAAGGTAAAGTAATAACAGTAAATCAATAGAGAAATAGCTTTCTCATTAACGTATTCCTATCAAATATTAATTGAAATAATGTTTCTTGAGTTCCGTAAAAATTCATTACGATCAATTACGATCTATGTATTATCTAACCTATAAAAGTTTTTTGAATACAGAATACATACGTCTAGACTGAAGGCACTTCAATTGTTTTTATTCGTTGAGAACTCAAAAACAAATTCGAATAAATCTGTGATATCTGACGTCAAAGTTGAATTTATAGTTAAACATATAGGTCAAAGAATCCACAAGTTTTATCTTGGAAAAAGTACTTAAAATAAGTACTTTATTTTTAAAGCAGATATTTAACATATTTTATTTAAACCTTTAAGTCCCGCGCACGATGGAGGAAATATTAGGAATAGGAATAGATATTTAAGATTTTAACCTATTAGATAGCAGTCGGAATACATAGTTTCTGATAGGTTGAAATTTTAATATCTTTCTGTTTCTAATATTTCCTCTATTGTGCGCACGGCCTTACAATACAAGTTTAAATTCGCCATTATTTGATAAGTTGTTTTTTTTATAGATGGATATGTATTTATCCAATATATTTAAACAACAAGAGAAGCTTGGCAGATGGACGAAAGCTGGCCAAGGATAAGTGTGTAGAAAATCCAACGCATCAGGAAATACGGGATGTCTTGTTGGCAGCGGGTCTCAATGTAGGCGTCGAGAATAAGCTGCATCCGAAAGAACGTAGCAAGGAACCTCTGTTTCGCGGTCGTATTCGCGTGCAGCTGAAAAACGACGATGGAACACCGGTAAAATCCGAGTTTCCTACCAGAGATTCCCTGCTGGAGTATGTTGGTAGCTCAATTTCAAAGCTGAAGACTCGCCAGGGTAAGCAGAGCTCTAGCGAGCAAGCATCGCAGCCATCTACGTCGACTTCAAAGAAAGGGAAAGGCAAAGGAAGGAGATAAAGAAGAGGAGATGGAACTGTTAAGAGTGAATTTTTATTTATATTTATATATTTTATATTATACAAAACGTTTGAATATATATGCTCATTCTTAAATTCTATGCTTTATCACATCATATATAAGACAAAAATTAAAATAATGCTATAAATGGAGTATGGATTTTTGAAATGGTTTTCACAAACAATTACTTTGTGAACTTTATTATAAACTTCTTTATTCATAATCTCTAAAAAATTTTCTGATTATACTTTTTCAAAACTGAGGGATATACGTGCGATGAGAATTGCAGGATCAACCTAAAATTATGTCATGTTTATATAGTTATTGTTTAGATTATTACAATACTTTTTATTTTTTATATCTCTAGTTCTAAATATGAATAAAGATAGTCTTTCACTGACTTCTGTTATTAGGACTTTTAAATTTGAGTTGAAACTAAAAGCATTATAAGATATAGGGCTATATTATATGTAGGTATATGAGTATGTATTCAGTTGGTTTAGAATAGAATGATTGAAATAAGTTAATGAATAAGTTAATGTTAAAAATTTCTTTTATTAAGGAAAAAATTTAATAATTACATTACTATTTGTTTGCTGTAGTATAAATATGACAATAATAAGAAATTTAAATTTATATTTTGAACAGATTAGATATATACAATGCATTTAATTTATCCTATGATTTATCGTTTCCGTTTTTCACTGTTTTCTTTTCTTCGTTAGGAATGTTGTTTTTAGTTGGATCGTCAGATTTTTCCATTTCATTCGAATATTTGGTTTTGTCAGCAGATAAAACTTCATTTTTCTGTTCAGTATTTATATTATTTTTGCAAAAAGATTGTGGATTGGACGCAGAAGTCCATGGATTCGATAATTTATCTTGCGGATATAGCGACATAGATTGAAGAAGATATTCATTAGGTACGGCATGGAACATATTTATCAAAGGATTATAATAAGAATTGTATGGATATGGGTAATTCTGATATTGCATTGGTTGGTACAATTCGTCTGCGATGTATGCTACTGGATACTGTAATGGATTATTCAATCCAAAAACGTTTTGTTCAGGTTTATCCTGGAAGAAATAGATTTTAATTTATAATTTATTTTTATTACAAAAGTCAATTTAATGCTTAGTTATGTATAATTGCATTTAACGATTTCACCAATCGAGCAATTGTTTATATCACTGTATAGAATGTCATAACTTGCATCATAACTCTTGTTTATTAATATAAAGAATATTGCAATTTCTTAATTTTAAACGACACAATTTCTCATTACTTCATTACTTATTAAGAAAAAGTTACAAATTTATGTAAGAATTTGGTATTAAATAAAATTTACGAATTAAATATATTAGTATTAAATAATAAAAAATAATAAGAAACTTACTGCATTACTTCTGGCAATAGGAAAGTTGGAAGTATTGGAACCATCATTATTTTCACATTGACCAACAGTTTGATCTGTATCTGATGTGTCCTGTGGGAACTAATAGAAAAAGATTTAATTGTAGCATTAATATATTTTTTGTTTTAATTTTTGCTGTTATATATGCATATCTATTAAAAGCATCGAATTCATTTTTTAGACTTCTACAATTTTATCTAAAAGGTGAAACATGTGGACGTTCGTATGAAACGTTTATTCAGATTAAATAAAACATATTTATTATGCTTTTCATTAAACTGACTACAAATTATGTAATTAAACGCTACTTACATTACTACTTCTGATGATACCGCGATGGTGCAGAGGATAATGATGGTACACACGAGGGTGTAGTATACGGTGCAAAACGTGTGCGGGAAATGTGACCGCTTTAAGTAAAGCGTGAGGTAGTCCATGTGGATGAGAAATTGTGTTCAACGGAACCGTTGTTGGATCGTACACTCCGGTTGGTGGATAGATAAAGGGTGGTTTTGTCCCTAAGGTCGAAAGATCTACTCCCTGCATAGTTGGACTCACGTACGATGTGTAATCTGATATCATATACAACAGAAAGTCGTATGTATTCCAAGAAACGGGACTGGTTAACGATACACCGTGAAATCTTAAAAATTACTTTTTTTGTCAACTACTCCCGAAAACGAATTTGTCGCAGAATCGATGCTATCGCGAGTTGCATTGAACACCCTGACAAAATGAGAGTGACCAGCTTCTGGTCCTCCATTGATAAAATACTGTGCCACTTTCTCGGCATCTCCTATAAGGCAATTCGACAGTCTTTATTTTAGGTACCTCGACATTAGAAAATCCTAAAAGATACCTTAGTTTGTATAACGTTTTTTAGGTATTTTAAAAATGTCCTTTGGAGTTTCAGAATCCTCGGATTTGGATACTAATCAGTATCCTTTATGAATAAAATTACCTTTATGCCAATAATTAGCTGTAAAACTGTGTGAAACTATTTTTGTAGGAAAAGTTTTTGAATGTTCCATGACAATGGAGTTTTTGAAATAGGAATACGAAACGTGGCACTTTTTTTGAAGGAATGTTTATTTGAAGGTATTTTTGAAACATTTAAGTCTGTAGAAAGTTAAAATGTATTATATAAATATATAATTTTACTTTACCTGGTCTGAGACGACGCCTGTATTTTAAAACAGAACGTATTTTTCGCTCCTCGTCTGTCAGATCATCAGAAAGCATATTCAATTCGACAGCTTGAATTTCTTTTTGTATATGCTGTATGCATTCTGCATTGTTGAGTTAAAACATGAAATAAGCGATATTACTTTTTAGACAACTATTTTAGCAATGTATTTACACACAGAAGATAAATTTGTAAATGTATGATAATACCTTTGTTACTGTCGTCAACAAAATTGCATTCACAGTGACCGTTTGCAAATACTGCGGAACCGTTACATTTTATGCATAGTAAATTGCAAGTTTCGGCATCGTTTGCGTCTAATAAAATGCCATGAATTGCTGCAAACACGCATTTCTAATTATCATGAATGTTTATTGATTACTAATTTATGTTTATCACTAGTGTGATACATAAATTATTAATAACGACAGATGTGTTGGCAAATCTATTAGAATACGTAAGAGAGAATTTAAATTACACACTGTGTAAATTTGAAATTACTTCCAACAATATACTTTTTCTTTCATTCTGAGAAGATCTTTGATACGAAAAAATTCTTTGGACTGCATATAAAGTAATAAAATAAACGTTAAAATTAAAGTAATAAATTTCACATTTATCTATCTAAATAATTAATTTTATAAAACAATCTATGTTTTGCTCATATAATTTTTTGTATTATCAAAATAATTGTCAGTATATTCATGTTAAAATTAATCATTAAAATGTAATTAAATAATATTTATTGAAAAAGCTTTTATACGTACCAACACAGTATAAAATATGAATAAGTAACAAAAATTGATGTTGGGTGATCATATTGACCGATGAATAACGTCCAATTAAAAATTTTAAGTCGGATACAAGTCGTACGCGATCCCGCACTACACTGCTATAATAGCAATTGTACTTTAATTTATAATAGTTTACGTTTGCACAATTCACGAGTGTGTGGTGATTATTTCTCAAATTGCTTTTCTGACATCTTTAATAATGCAATTTCGCATTTTAATTTATTCAGTTGCATAATGCCACACGACTGTATCAAATGTCACAATCTGTTAGTATTTTCGGCAAAGGTATTCGGAGAATGATTGCAATAATGCATTCGATTTTGCTGCACGTCAAAGTTTTCATTGTGGTTTTATAAATATCATTCGTATGAAGACTGAAACTATACGATATACATACAATTCGTAGAATTTTATACCATAATAGAATTTTATAATATTATGATTTAGAAAATTATATATAAATAATTACAAAATGTTTTTAGAGCAATTTTTTTACAAACAATAATTTCACACAATTTTACATAGTGAATAATTTATTTAAAAAGACGAAAGAAAACATTTTATTATGACGATGTTTTTAAATTATGTTTTAATATTTATTGTAAATTATAAAGAATAGAAACTATACGATATATAAACAAAAGATAATTCATAGAATTTTTGTGCAAATTGATAATCACGACTTAGAAGGGTTTACGTAATTGATTACAGAATATTTTTAGCGACAATAAATCTAGTGATATTGAACTCATATAATTTTGTGTAATTAATAATTTATTTAAAAAGATGAAGGAAAAGAATTTCATTGTGACGGTGCTTTCAAATTATTTTTTAATTAATATTTAATATAAAAGAAAAAAAAACCTCCACCGTGACAATGCTTTCACGCATTGCCGTGACCAGGATTCGAACCTGGGTTACTACGGCCACAACGTAGGGTCCTAACCACTAGACGATCACGGCTATTGAAGGTCGTGTAAACGAGTCGCGTTTTTAACATTAAAAGTGTCGTGACATACTTATATATTCATTTGGTATGAGATATTACTGTTTCTTGATATTTGCAAATACGCTTTACGTAATTGTAAAATAAATTACATTAACTTTTTTCTCGGATAATCGAGTGACACAGGTAATAAGGTCAAATCGTTGAAACCGCACATGTAATGGAATTTATTGGAAATTTTATTTGAAATTCCATTGGACATTATGTTCGGAAAATATCGGAAATCATTGTTCATATAACTGCTTTTTCCATACATACTGCAATTACGAAGCAAAATGGGACATTGCACAATATTTTATCATGATATCCTTGGAATACCGATTCGATTGGTATTTTATCGAGAGAATTTTGTTTCACATCCCATAAATTTTTAAATAACAGTAAATATTTTTCTTTATTTCTCTCTTTTCTATAACAGATTGTCGCGAGTCTTGCATTTTTGGTATGTGATTTTGAAAGATACAGACCATTTTAGACTGTATAATTAAATTACATTAATAGACAAATTTGTAGCTTTGATACATAATTTTTTTATTCTTTATTGGTTTTTGACTTTGAATTTATGCGATTTGAATTCTCAAAAATTATGTAAAAATAAATTAAAAATTTATAATTGTAAAATTAAAAAAACTTTTCAATTTTATGACATTTAAACTTTTAATTAGTATCAATTTTTATTATACTTTGTTAATTATTGAGAAAATTTACAATTAAAATAAAAATTTACGCAATAATTATCGACGATTGGTAAATTTGCTAATGATTTTATTGAGCAGAGATAATCGTTGTCATTATTATGTAATTATTGACATAAAAAAATTTTTTAACTGTTGATATTCTACAAATAGCAAGTCAAAAATTGTAAAAATTTAAACTCTTAAAAAGTTACATAGTGTTAAAAAAATATAAACAGAAAACGGAAAAAATTTTAATTTAAATTTTTAGCATTTTAATTTAAATGGTGCAATGAAATATGCTTTATTGTATAAATTTTTATGTGAGTACCAACAATAATGAATACACACTTTCATGGATATCTAAATTGCTTTCATTTCGAGTACTTCTAATTGATACAACTTTGCATTTATATCATTAAATGAATATTAAATACATGTTCCAAGCTCAGACTTGTAGCGATTTGATTAGATGGTAGATATTTTCAGAAGAGTTACTAGTCTTTTACACGTATTTTTACATAATTGATATTCCGTGACAATCATAATAGCTCCTTGACTTTTAAATTATAAATAACTTTAACCTACTAACAGCTAAAATATCTCATTCTATAAACATTGCATCATTTTGACTCAATTATTGAAATTTAATTTATGTGATTTTTTTATTCTATTTTGTTCTATAATTATTGCCTAATTATATATATTATATATATATATATATATAAATTAATACAATACTTTTCTATATATATAGTACAATATATTTCTATAATCTTGAGAGATCTAAGTTAATAAATA